GAATAAGGTAAGCCATTTTTATTTAATATTTTCACTTTTAACTATCTCCATGGATATCTTGTAGAAAATCCCATACAAATCCTTATAAATCGATATGCAAATTGTGTTTCTTGTGTGGTTCTTAAAGAGAGCTGGGACCGCCTGTGGTCTCAGCTTGATTACCTGACCAGGTGTCAAATTTTGTTTCAGTTACTTCCCGCTTCCTTTATGTAGTCTAAAAAATTTCATAATTTTTATGTGGTTTTCCTTAGTCCACCACCTCACCGACAAATATCGTGCCAAAGCTAATTCCAAAGCGACTGAGCGGCTGGGTTTTTTTTAACTATTTCACATGTTACGGTTGCACAAACAATAGTCGATACTACTTCTAAATAAAGTGTCATCGGATATCCACACATTTGCGATTAAAGATATTTATTATGCATACACTGTACGCCCTACATTGTGCTTCTGATTACCAAATTTGTCCTTCATTAATATCGGCTTTTTTTTATTTGAACAGATTTAAAAGCACCGTGTGAACTCGATGACTGATACAAAACTTCGATATGGAACTCCATCTTCTAAGTGATACATAGATAGGACACATTAACATTTTCAGACACTAGCTCACCGTAAAAAAAGATAATAAAAAAATAAAGAGTAAAATGGGTCATTTATTTTATAACTACGTCAAACGCAAGCAATAAAGAAGAAACGTGATTTACTCACTTGTCTGCTCAGTGGGTCAGTGGGAGGTGGCTTTCCTTTTCATTTAAAATGTTTTGACCCCGTCCGAAAAAACGAATAGTTCGTTTTATTATATTTTAGTATCGAAGTCATTTGCCTGCATGGTCTTGCAAGATGGCACTATTTCATCGCGACAATACATAACACTCTATTACGTAAGCCCTCAGCCTAAGTAATAGCAACAAATTTCGGATATCCGCCATCGATATGTTAGAGTATTCGACCCTTAGCCTGTTCGCGAAAACACCTCGTTGTCTTCTTCCTTGCTTTACTAAAAACATGATGATAACCACGTGATGCTTTAAACTTTATTCCATCCCCTTGGAGATCTTTAATACTTCCCGCCCACTGATTTACTCACTGGTCAACTTTCTCAGCCACCACTGCAGCATTAATACACTATTTTTCAAATTTTAGTGCTTACGATCGGTTATTTGAGAATAATCGTAGCAATGATCATGAGATGAAAAAGCGATGGACAATTTCTAGGCCCGGGTCTTTGGGGGAAGAAACATGTCATTAGCTTTAACAGGAGAGTGGGTAAAAGAAAACACGCTAGTTTCCTAAAGAGGATCCGAGTCACAGGCATTCGAAGTTTGTACTTCAATGTAACATGTTGAACACAGAGAACGATATGAATTGTGCGAAGGGTTCCTAATCGCAAAAAATAAAATAAAATAGAACAAAAATAAAAAATAATAATAATAATGAAAAGAAAAAACCAAGAACGAAGCACACCTTTCTCTATTCTACGGCCGAAATAAAACTCTTATCCTTGCACACGACGCTTTTGACAGAAACTTATCATGAAAAAACGCTTCGATAGAAAATGGTTTTCCCTAAATAATTGCAGTATTCCACACCATGATCGACGTCATCGGTCTTCTTGGAAATTTATTTGTAATTTTGACGATCGCCTTGGAGAATAGATTGCGTGTGATGCGGTATATTCTTCTGGCTAGCCTGGCAGTGTCAGATGTGTTATTCATAACATTTGTGAACTTATTCCGAATCGTGAGCAAGGCACAAGAAAAATAGCCTTACGGTGAAATAATGTGTCATCTTCATCCAGTTTTCGTGC